TGAAAGCTGGCTGGGTGACTTTGGGCCAGTAACTCTCAGCCCAACCCACCTCACAGGGTTGTTGTGGGGAAAATAGGAGGCAGGATTATTAGGTATGTTCGCCACCTTGAGTTATATATAAAAAAGGTGGGATAAAAATCTAATGATGATGATAATGATGTTCAGAGTACTTTTTCTGGATTTTCTTCAAGGCATGTACTACTCTAGTCCAATCTCATATATCAGCCAGTGATGCTTTCCCAATAAGTGGGACCCAGGGAAGGGCTTCTACACTTGATCTTTAACATGCAGATTAATATGAAGAAAGTGGCCTACAAGTATTCGAGTCATTTAGGACATAAAAGATAATCATCTTGAATTGTACCCAAAATTGACCAACAGGCATTGAAGGATATATATTATATGATACTATGACTGAGTATTCTACAGTTAGTGGGGCTCAGATTAAAACTCAGTTTTGGAGGTTAATGAGCTTTAGCTTATCATTTTGAACAGAATGATACAAAATAGATGAATGATCTGACATGGTAGAATGCATCTCTGATTTTTCCTACAGTTATTGGATGGCGTTCATGGTATGGGGAAGTTATAAACTGTGAAGGGTTCAGAGCTCAAATACTGAGTTTCTTAGCTGTCTGTGGGATTTTATATGTACATGTTGTCTTAAAATTACAGCAAGATCCTCCCACAAGTGCTGTGGTTGTGATGGCTGCTACGGATTACAGAAATGTGGAAGGATGTGAGAGGAATAAAAACAAATGTCATCGTGTATCAGCATCAAATAAAAGTCCATCATTATTACAAGAATCAGGAAGTTATGGAGCAGGCAAATCAGCTGAGAGAGCTGACTTGGGTAAGTAGAATGCTAAACAGCAAAGTTTATCTTCCTATCGTCTTTTACTACTCATCCCTGTGTACTTTTAAGAAATTGGGGAACAGGTACTTGAGAAAAGCTTTGCTGAGCTAGATGCTGCTTGCAAAATGACATATTGTCGACCCTCACATTGCATCTATTTATTTATAAGGCTGCCTACTATGAAAAATGTGATTCTGGGTGGTTTACAATAAGCCAAGAATGTGCAAAAAACAAATAGACAATTTCATTACAATGAAAAAGAAACCCATGATAGGTGTTCAGAAACTCTCAAT